ATATAAAATAATGGCAAATGAAAACCAACGAGAGTAAAAGAAACAAAATATACAATTAGGAGGATTAACAAAGCTAGATGACTCTCCTTTGAAAAGGTGAGTAATATTGATAAACTTCTGCTGATAATGGACAAGGAATAAAAGATAAGACACAAGTTACTATTGTCAGCAATGAAAACAAAAACATGCCAGAGATGCCAGAAAATTATACGATAGTAATTGATTCTGTGATGTGTTTATTGATTATAGGATATAAAAAATTCATACCACCAGGACACATGTACAAAAATGTGCATAGCAGCATTATTTGTAAATGCTAAAAACTGAAGGCAACATAAGTATTCATCAACAATAGAGCACATAAATAAATTATAGTATAATCAGAGAATTAAGTCCTATACAAGAGAAAAATGTGACAAATGCTGGAGAGGCTGTGGAGACAGGGGAACCCTCCTACACTGCTGGTGGGAATGCAGTTTGGTGCAGCCACTGTGGAAAACAGTATGGGGATTCCTCAAAAGACTAGGAATAGACTTACCATATGACCCAGCATAAATCCAGAAGGAACCCTACTTCAGGATGACACCTGCACCCCAATGTTCATAGCAGCACTATTTACAATAGCCAAGACATGGAGACAGCCTAAATGTCCATCAACGGCTGACTGGATAAAGAAAAGGTGGTATATTTATACAATGGAATACTACTCAGCCATAAAAATGACAACATAATGCCATTTGCAGCAACATGGATGCTCCTGGAGAATGTCATTCTAAGTGAAGTAAGCCAGAGAGAGAAAGAAAAATGCTGTATGAGATCACTCATATGTGGAATCTACAAAACAAACAAGCAAACAAACAAACAAAACATCAATACAAAACAGAAACAGACTTATAGACATACAGTACAAACTTGTGGTTGCCAAGGGGGTGGGGGGTGGGAAGGGACAGACTGGGATTTCAAAATATAGAATAGATAGATAAATAAGATATAACTGTACTGCACAGGGAAGTATATACAAGATCTTGTGGTAGCTCACAGAGAAAAAAAGTGACAATGAATATATCTATGCTCATGTATAACTGAATAATTGTGCTCTGGAATTTGACACAACATTGTAAAATTATTATAAATCAATAAAAATGTTAAAAAAAGAAAAATTGGTAAATCCATGATGCAGCAACATGGGTGAATTTTAAAATATAATAATAATCAATTCTAAAACAAATCAGAAAAATTATGACCCATTCATATATGAATGAAATTAATTGGCACTGTTGAGTATACATAAACAGGCAAAAATCTATGAATAAAAATAAGAAAATAAATTTTAGGAGGAGGGTAATGGCTCAGTGGTAGAGGATGTGCTTAGCATGCATGAGGTCCTGGGTTCAATTCTCAGGACCTCCATTAAAAAAAAAATAATATATATATATATATACACCTAATTACTAGCCCCCAATTTTTGTAACATTCAGGACAGTGGCTACCTTGCAGGCAGAAGCTGGTGTTGAATAAACAGATTTAGGGCTTCCAGGCACTAGGGAATGTTTCTTCTATGTGTGGGGAATGGGCACTTGATGGTCCCTTTACAAACATTTCATAAACTATTCCTTTTAAAATAATACACATTTTTCAATGTTATTTTATTTTTGAACAAATGCAATAGATTTAAAGAATATAGAGGACTAAAGGTAAAATATTTTGCGCTAGTCTTTCAATAAAATATAGTACATCTCAAGGTGGCAGTTGGAAATCTTAAAAAGGAGAACAATTTTTAGGATGACCATTCAGAAATTTTTCAAATTGTTGTTTATGAAAGTAGGGCATCCCCATACCTCTCCCATGAGATGTGCAACCACTTTTATTAGGTATGTTTGCCTTTATTCTTGCCCTATTCCAGTCTCCAATTACTCTAATCCTACAGTAAACATTGTAAAATTCATATTTATTCATGAGTATATTTAGTATACATTTAATTATATATGAATATAATTCATTGTATGCTATTTACTCTAGATTTATAGAAGTTGGAAATTGAATGACAAGATATTTTAAATATATATATTATATTTAATATATAAAACACATTTAATTTCTTTTAATATATTTAGTTTATTTTAATATATAAAATATGTATTCTCAATGCCTCCCTGTTCATTCTAGTGTACATACCTACTCAATTTGGTATTTACAGCTTCGGGGTATCTCCCCTGCTTCTTTTATCCTTATGTCTGTTCAGGTGCTGGTCCTCTCTTTGAAACATTCTTTTGTCTCTTTACATATATAATCTTTACTTTAGGATCACTGCTCAAGTCTGGGGTTCCCTTCTAGATGCTGTGGGGCTTTCTGGGTGGAGCCATCTCCTAGCTCTTATGACTGGGATCTCAAGTCTGTACAGCTCTCTCCTCCACTAGCAAATAAAACCCTTGAAGTAAGGGCTTGTGTCCCGGCCACTGCTGTGTCCCCTGTGAACTGCACAACATCTGTGGCATAGAAAATAATCCGTTAAGATGAATAAAAGATTGAATGATCCAACTGTCTATGGAGATTTTCTTTTTTCAAAGAGTTTGATAAGCAGAATGGTATTTATATTAAATTGAAGGATACTGGATAAATAATCAATTCATGACAAAAAGATAAAATAAGCTTTTTAAAATATGGTTTTATAGTTTAATTGAATACTTAAGTGGAACCGTCCAATTGGAAGATGAAAAAGACCAGGAATACTGTTCTTTAATTCAACAGACAATTGCTGAGCTCCTCCCATGTGACAAAGTCTACACTGGTGTCCTCATGTCCCTGATGGAGCAGAGCAGATACACAGAGGCAGAGTCTTGGGCAAAGCCACCTTCAAGGAGTCACACCTGAGAAAGGGAAGCAGTTTGGTTTCCCCTTCTCAAAAGTGATGTAAGGCAACTGCGAGAGCTTGAGCAAGCCCATAAATGTCACACAGTTCTTGAGAACTACAGAGGCATATCCTGAACTAAACTCAAGACCAATCCTTTTCAGTTTATTCCATCTAATCACAACAGACCCCTGATTTATGGGTAAATTCAAACTCAAGATTTTAGTTTTTCTTTGCACTCTATGCTCCTGAATGACAATCAGGTAAAACAGACACTCATTAAAAACAAAACTTATAGAAAGTTCATCAACGGATGACTGGATAAAGAAGAGGTGGTATATTTATACAATGGAATACTACTCAGCCATAAAAACTGACAACATAACGCCATTTGCAGCAACATGGATGTTCCTGGAGAATGTCATTCTAAGTGAAGTAAGCCAGAGAGAGAAAGAAAAATACCATATGAGATCACTCATATGTGGAATCTTAAAAAAAAATACAAAACAGAAACAGACTCATAGACATAGAATACAAACTTGTGGTTGCCAAGGGGGCGGAGGGTGGGAAGGGATAGACTGGATTTCAAAATTGTAGAACAGATAAACAAGATTATACTGTATAGCACGGGGAAATATACACAAGATCTTATGGTAGCTCACGGAGAAAAAAAATGTGACAATGAATATATATATGTTCATGGATGACTGAAAAATTGTGCTCTACACTGGAATTTGACACAACATTGTAAAATGATTATAAATCAATAAAAAATTTTAAAAAAGACTTATCAAATGATACCAATAAGCTAATAAAAAGGGTAACTACCTCTGTTTAATATGCTTTTTGTATAGTCTTGTTTTTCTTAATCACAGCAATTTCTAAAGCAAAAATTTTACCTACCTCTAGAAAAAATCTCTTATTTTTCACTGCATTTTGCCCCTAACTTCATGGAATTATTTCCAATTTCAGACAAATTATTTTCATGCACTAAAGGAATAATCATAAATGAGAATCAAAAGTATTCAGTTGGCATGCCATGTGAAGAAGGTAAATCCAATAGGGCAGTTTATTGAAATCCAGCAGGATAGGAACACCTGGTGTGTATCTCTTGATGGTAAGATCAAGGTTCTGTGCCAGTTGGTAGTTACTTAACAATTTAGAACCCCAAACTCCTCCTTGCATATTAATCAGAGTAAATGTATTTTTTCCTCTAGTTTCTCACATCCCAGAAACACTAGACACGTGAATTATTTTTATCATGAAAGCAACAGTGTCTTGATGCTACGTGTAGATTTATGGACATTCTATTTGTAGAATGATATACAGTAAAGGAGGTAATAACTGGTGAATATTCCAAACTCTTTCTGTTCATTCTCCCTGTTTCAGAAGGAAGCAGCTAAGAAGATTAGGATTCTCTAAATTCCCATCCTCCTCCAAGGCTGTTATACTTAGTCTAAATATGGTATAATTTATCCTACGATAAATTATAGCACAAAAAAACTAAATAAGAAATTTCTTTAAAAATTTTTTTACATGTTTTATGAGCTGTGAAGTTAGGTGAACTTCTCTGGATCTTTCATGCGGATTGGCATTTGGTCTAAGTAGTTTTGATGGTCAAATAATATTGAAACTATTGGTATTTAAACCATAGATCTCACATTCAATATTTGAAAAAAAAAAGTGTTCATTGTACTGAGATCTAATAGCACTCATTGGACCTCTGGTTGCCACATGTGAACTATGAGTTAAGGGGTTTTGCAAAGTAAGGGAAACCCCAATTTTCCCTCCAGGATTAAGCTGGGATCCGAATTCCTCTGAG